CGAATCCCTTTTTATTTCTAAAAATAATGAATTTTTGGTTAAAATGCAGATCAGTTTATCTTTTAACGGATGTTTTCTTAAAAACTCTTTTAAAAGATAATTTTTTAGGTATTTGATCTACCTGACCCAAAAGGCCGATGGCGACTCTCAAATTATTTTAAAAACCATTTATTCACATCACTTTTCCCGCCAATTAAAAAATTCGTGTCCGGACGAAAACCGGTTACAACACACAAAATCAGGATGAATCTCCACGTCCAAATCGTTAATCAGATTAGATTGTTTAGCTTCAACTGTTGGACCCCAGACCATATCTCGAAATCACGGTTTGTTGCTCACTGACGCTTCAGTCCTCTGTTCAGGATTTTCAGATCCTGTGCCCAAAGCATCGTCCATAGGAGTATCCACACCCATGGCTTTCGGATGATCAAGGCCGCCTTCAGAGGGAGAGTGAGGCATCGATTGCACTGGATCAATAGTACCTTCAGGCGGCGACCACCATTATGTTTTTACTAAACGATAGTATAGATATGAACTGATACATGAATATGCTAAGAATTAGACTAAAGTACATACATAAAGTAGCTATTAAGCCTTTACATTTATTTATCCGAATTTGAATATATGCAATTTTTTAAAATTTGACTGATAAAATGACTATTGGGGGGAGAGAGATGCAATTCATGCATAGCCTTTGCCACTAAACAAAAGGAAGTCTAACCTTCAATAAAATAGTCATTAACCCTCTCTTAAGTTGTCGGTTCACGCTGGTATTATAAAGATTTATAGTTTCACCATAAAATTAAAATATTTAGAAGTTTAATGATTAATTTAAAATGAGTGTTAGAGTTTGAGGACATATAATACAATTAATTCATACAAATAATAAAGGGTAAATTATACAAATAATCCTCGATTATAGGACAGTGCTTTGTTGAGTCATCTGACTATTAAAAGTTACAAACAGTCTTCCGACTATAGGAAGTTGTTTGTTAAGTCTCTCAACTATTAAAAGTTATAAAATGATCATCAACTATTAACATGTTTCAAACTCATCATTGTCGGTTAAAAATTAACAATCGTCTGAGCTGGACGTTAACATGCTGACTAGATATGATAAAAATTATACTTTAATGATGCGTACTAATAGGATCATTACTTTCAAGCACTGACTTGATGACATAATGTTTTAAGAACTAGCTCAACAATATAATTTAATTGAGAGTTGATACACAAAATAAAACTCAAACAATTCTAGGACCTGATTTTATCATATCCCAATAAATAGTTTAATGAATACCTCATACGACTGTCAAAATTTTTAATGAAAAATGACAAGTTTGAAACATATGAATAGTCAGTTGACTATTTTGTATCTTTTAATACTAATAAGACCATTTTATAAATTTTAATAGTTATGAGACTAAAAAAATAGTATCTTATAGTTGAGGGACCATTTGTGTACTTTATCCAATAATAAAAATCTATTGACAGATTCAAGAAGAAAAACAAGGACAGAAGAGGAAAAGGAAAAAAAGAGAATCCGTTTGGCTGGCTGGCTGGCTGTCCCGGCATAGCTGGCTCCTCCGTTAAAACAAATCGACAATGACAATGCTAGCAAAAGTTCCTGTTTCTCCATTTCTCCAAATCTCAAATTCCGTCGAAAGGAAAACCTCCTCCTTCCGTAAACAGCCGCCCAGAACCAAGAACCATGGCAGCCGCTTCCCCGCGCGACGAGAACGTCTACATGGCTAAGCTCGCCGAGCAAGCCGAGCGTTACGAGGAGATGGTCAAGTTCATGGAAAACGTCGTCTACGCCGTCCCTCCTCCCGACGAACTCACCGTCGAGGAGCGCAACCTCCTCTCCGTCGCCTACAAGAATGCCATCGGTGCCCGCCGTGCGTCCTGGCGGATCGTCTCCTCCATCGAGCAGAAGGAGGAAGGGCGCGGCAACACCGAGCACGTGTCCGTCATCCGCGACTACAGGACCAAGATAGAGGCCGAGTTGTCTGAGATTGGCGCCGGAATTTTGAAGCTCCTCGACGAGACGCTTGTTCCGGCTGCTGGAACCGGCGATTCCAAAGTGTTTTACCTGAAAATGAAGGGCGATTACCTTAGGTACTTGGCTGAGTTCAAGACTGGCGATGAAAGGAAAGCTGCTGCCGAGAATACCTTGACTGCGTATAAATCTGCTCAGGTTTGTAGGCGTTTCTGTAATCTCTGTTTGGATCATGTGAATTTGCTTGTATTGATGTGTAATTTAAGGGTTTGGTTAAGTTTCGATGTAAATTATGTGTTCAGTTTGTTTGAATCTGGTTTATGTTTAATTGCTTCATATTTGGGGATCAAACTAATTTTTAGATCTAAGTTATAGTTATGTCCTTGATGTGTTGCTATTTTCTTATCACTAAGATCCTGATCTTCTTTCAGTTGCGAAGCTTGACTAGGAAACATAATCATAAGAAGACAGTACTGCGAATTACAATAGAATTTTATGAAAATTATCAAGAAAAATCATCTCAATTCATAAATTAGCTTTGTATTTTATATGATGCAACTTGCATCTTATTTTGTCTGATTTAAGCTCATAGTTTTTTTTTATTAATATGGGCTAAGTACAAGTTAGTATTTATTCAAATATAACTCTTAAATGCTCACACCCCTTGCATTCCTGGTGCAAGAATCTGGAACCCCAAAGAATAACAATAATTCTTTTACTTTTGAGGTCGCTTCGTTCATGCAATTTAAACTCATTGTTGAATTTCTTGTTGGGACCAATGAAATTTGTGTTTATTCATGAACCATGGTCACTCTCCTTTATTCATTTTGTAGTGTAATGTTAGTTGCTTTGGATTATTGGGTATTTCCAGTCTGCTTTTCATAATATTATTGTTCTTAATCTTACATTTAAACAGAAGATTCTGATATTTACCTCTGATTTTGAATTTGGTAAGGTGATTATGACTTTCGTACATGGTTCCGACCCTTTATCGATCATATCTGCATCTTTTTGTGCTGCTTTCTTTTCAGGACATTGCAAATTCTGAACTAGCCCCGACTCATCCTATCTGTTTAGGATTGGCTCTGAACTTTTCTGTCTTCTACTATGAGATCCTGAATTCTCCTGATCGTGCTTGCAGTCTTGCCAAACAGGTAGAATCACAATACATCAGAAATTATAGTTTAATTGAAATATTTACTTTGTTCATCAAAGACAGTGCAAGTAAATTCTTTTACATTACTAATCCTTTTTCGCTCTTCATTTGGTATTCATTTACCTCTTCTTCAAAATATGTTTAAGTCGAAACATGTTTTGTTTCTTTCCTCAGGCTTTTGATGAAGCCATCGCTGAGTTTGATACTCTCGGAGAGGATTCGTACAAGGACAGCACTTTGATAATGCAACTTCTTCGTGATAACCTCACTTTGTGGACCTCGGATATGCAGGTTATACCCCGTGTATATGTTTTTCTTTCTTGCCTCCGTATTTAGCTATATAGGTATCTTTTCTTTATATTGTTTCTTTTTTAAATTAACCATATATATTTATCCATTTAGGATGATGGAATTGATGAGATCAAAGAAGCTTCCAAACACGGGGATGAGAAATAACCTTGAAGTTCCGAATCTTTGTGGGTAGTATTTTGCTTCTCTTCTTGTTTTTGCATGGAGAAGTTGGTTGGTCCTACTATCTCTTCAGTTACTTGAACCTTTCTGATTGCAGTGAGGCTATGTGCACTCTTTTCCTTAAATTGTTTTCTCAACAATAACGTAGTTGAATATTGAGATATTTCCTAAGCTTATTTTTTAAGACATTTTCTTCGAATTATCAGATTCATGTTTATACAGCTTCGGTGTTTTGTCGCTTCATGCATTGTGGCTGGGAGAAAGAGAGTTCCAGCTCTTTCAATCCTTCCCGGGGTAACCCCGATTGTAAGGTGGTTGATGCCAAGTTTAGGATCATCATACCTGTTAATAGGCTGACAGATTTGTAGATACGACTATCAATTATTAGATTTGGCTGTCAAAGGTCACGTTGAAGATAGAGTATGAACTCCATAGAGCGATCATGCGGACGGTGGTTTCGAAGAAGACATGATATCTCAAGAGGAATTCTGGAGGCTTCGCTCCGAGGGCGTGGTCCTCAGGAGGTCTTCATCGGTGCTGATTTGGTAGTTTTTGAAGGATCTTCTCGGGAGGTATAACACAATTAATCCTTAATCCATTTCAAAATCCCTTTTCCCTTCATAATTTGGCAAGTTCAAGTATAAACATTGTCATTAGTGACATTCTTTTTCTCACCATTATCTGTAAGATACAGAATTAGATTATTAATAGGAATTAAAAAAATAAAAATATTTAAATTATATTAAGAATTTAAAATTTTCAAATATGTAATCGTCCCAATATGGCAATATCCCTCAATCCATTCTTCATCTTAACTCCTCTAATAAGCAACTTCCTTAGCGGCACAATTTCTTGTGGGATTGATTATTGTCATTTTCGTCCATTTCTTGTGGGCCTGATTAATTGCCAATTTCGTTTTTGAGTATTTCAGCACGACAAGGGACGAGGATGATCTGCCTTTTCAGATATTTTGTCAAATTGTTGTGGTTTGGGTTTGCACCACAAAGCAAGGATAACTCTCTCATCATTTGGGGATGAATTTGAAAGATTCAATTATTTTTTTTTTAATTTAGAATGAGGGTTAGAATTTGAAAATAAATCGAAATGTTCACAAGTCTAAGGGTTGATTTAGAATAAAGTCCTAGTTTGAGAATAGTTTATTTGAAAAGTTTAGGGATTAATTTAAAATAAAAATTATAGTTTTGAGGATGTATGTTATAATTAGTTTTTTTTTTATTTTCCATTTTTGGGAAAGAATTGTGCGCTTTCGGCCTCAACTAGTCAACTATTGTATAAGCCGACATGCCAAGAAAGTCAAGAATAAGCTCCGAAAGTAATAAAAACCAGTAGAGCAAAAGTCATACTTATCTTTTTCATTCAATTTCATCATCTTCTTCCCTTCACTTCACCCCGTTTGATTCATTCTTCCCTTTCCTTTAATGCTTAATCTTTGATTCCCCAAAAATGGGTTTTCTACTCAGAAAAACCTTATCAGAAGACTGTGATGATCTTGATTGTTACCAGATCTGTACTTCATCTTCTTCTTCAGCAACATCAAAGTGTTTCAGATTATGTTCTCAGCACTGTGACCATGGAAACGATGTCGTCTTCCCTCCTCCGACGACGAGCCATCACTCAAAGTTTCCCACTAAGTATCTGATATCAACGCTCACAATTGTCTCGTTTTCGTTTTTGATCCTTTGCCTTTATGTTTACATTATTCGGCGTCATAGACGGCGGTCCGGCGGTGTCACCGGGAGATCGGATTTGGAGCGTGAAACGACTGAAACCCACGACGTGTTCCTCGATGAAGATCACGGTCCGGTCCTCGATCATCACATATGGTACATCAACACCGTCGGTTTACAGCCTTCGATCATCGACTCGATCGCGGTTTTTAAATACAAGAAAGACGATGGTGTTATTGAAGGAACCGAGTGCTCCGTTTGCTTGACGGAGTTCGAAGAAGAGGAGAGGTTGAGGCTGTTGCCCAAGTGTAGTCATGCTTTTCACATCCCTTGCATCGATACTTGGCTTAGATCGCACACCAATTGTCCCATGTGCCGTGCACCCCTTGTTTCTGCTAACAACGGACCGTCTTCTTCGAGCATCGTAACCGAAGTTTCCGAGGAAACCCTAGTTCCTATCCCCGAAGATGATGAAGAATCCGAAGGTGGAAGTGGAACAAGCCATGAAGATGAATCAGCAGCTGTTGAAAATGAAGGAAATTCAGGGGTTGTTCAACTTGAACCTATAAGAAGATCAGTTTCATTGGATTCCATGGCAGCTTCTCGGATCAGCGAGTTCATTGCCGGTGGAAGCAATTCCTACAACGAATCGAAAGAATCGAGCTTGAGAATTGTACCGAAGAGAGTTACCGGGAATCATCAGAGCTTGTTGAGACTAATGTCAATAGGTCGATCTTTGCAAATCAGGCCAATTTTCATGAAAAGGTCATTTTCATGCAATGGGAAGTTCTCCTTGCCTATCAACCGGAACCGGAATCCAGCGATGAGAAGCTTTTGAAAGGTTAGTTGGTCGACGGGCGGCGTCTACTTTCAGGTGAGACATCTGGAAACTAAGATGTCTAGCGAACTCTCAACAATGAAGAGGGTTTTTAAGCTTTTTTAGCCTTAAAGTAGAAAAAAATAAATTGCAATAAGTAACAAACAAGGATCCTCTATAAACAAAGATGTCATACTTTCAACTTCATCAATGGAAATGAGCCTTTCCCTTTGAGAATGTAGCATGCAATAGTTTTCCCTAGAAAATTGCTCTGAATTCTAGTGATAGTATTTGTTTAAAAAAATTAATCACTTAACAATAAATATTCAAATCTTCAAATCTTACATGAACTAATTGGTTTCTATGATAAAAGAATTGTTGTTATTCTTTGATAAATGAATGATGTGAACCTTCAATCTCAAAAAGTTGAGAGTTATTTTTGGATTGATTCGTGTTAATACATACAAGTGTTAAATCTAATATAAATATGAGTTATAAATAATGATTATTATTTGTTATCATTAAAATGATTGATCATAACAAAATTTACCAACATTATTAATAGTTTTGATAGTAATCGGTTGTGACCATGCCAGTCTCGCCATGTTATCCGCTACCTTATTCCTCTCCCTATGTACAAAGACGAACTTCAAACTCCTGCATCTATTACTCAAGTCTGTAATAAAGGGAGTCATTGAAAATGTATTCCTCGATCCCGATCTAGCTGTAATTTCACTAAGAGCTTCCTTGCTATCTGTTTCCATAATGATGGAGTTCAATCCCAAATTTCAAGCAATCAATAATCCTTCAAAAATGCCCCAAAGTTCCGCATCAAGAATCAAACACTTTCCAATGATTTTGGAATATCCCATGATCCATCTTCTTTCATGGTCTCGAGTTACACCTCCCCGGGTCGAAAAACCATCTACGTTGCAGCGAGCACCATCCGAATTAATTTTACACCATCCTTCAGGGGGCATTGCCAAGAGAGAGACCGGTTTACATTGCTTTCACTTCTAGCTTCCCGATCGGGTGATTGGCAATGGCATTTATTGTATCTGATTGGATCTGCTTGCTTTGCACTATAATGCTGTCTATAAACACATGATTTTCATCAAATAAAATTCGATTTCGATGGTTCCATAAACACCAAATAACCGAGCCAAATAAGAGCTCCCAGTCAGCGGCGTTAAGAGGGAAGTGTTAAGGTCGAGATAAATTCTTTTCAATCCAATCTTCTAGCGACAGACTATAGAATTCTTCCAGCAAGTTTGTTTTAATTAAACCATTCCAAACAGTTCGAGCGGCCACGCAGTCCCGAACAATGTGTAAGTTCGACTCAACCATCGCACCACAGACAACACAATGGCTATCCATCGTCATGCGTCTCCTATAACACTCCTCATTGATAGAAGCTTATTCCGAGCCAGTAATCATAGACGCATCTTTACACGCGGAGGACCACGGTAATTCATGATTTGGTGCCAGTCTAAAGCGTTTTCATTCTCCATTAGAGGACCTACTCGTTGTTTATAAGCACTCTTAACTGTGAAACACTTGTGTTTGTCCCATTTCCAGATCGGGATATCAAATCCTCTATTGTCAACCATATCTTTGGGCAATGTAAGGAAAAATCTCTTTGGGCAGTATCCCATTTAGATAATTCCAATCCCAGCTTCTATAATTATCCAACTATTGAGCCAGAGTAAAACTCCTTTAAAGGGCCGAGTTCTTCAATCCATGTATCATTCCAAAAGTCAACAACCGAGCCATTTCTAAGACTCCAACAGACACCCTTGCGTACCTCTTCCCAAACCAAATTCAATCCTGACCACAGACGCGAACAACCTGCGCGATTACTATGTTCTGGAACAATATCAATCATCTTGTATTTGGAGCGTAATAAAAGCTTCATTTCGATGTTGCAATTGTTTGATTCCTGACCCTCCCTCCATCGGTGGTTTACATACCTCTTTCCACTTCACCAGATGTGTTCTCTGCTTTTCGTCCGAGCCACACCAAATGAAACGTCGGATAATTTTTTCAATGCCGTTACAAGTCCCTTTAGGGAGGTAGCAAGATTGCATGGCATACATTGGTAAGGCTGACAATACCGATTTAGCTAGAAAAACTCGTCCAGTTAGACAAAGATGCCGTGCCTTCCATCCGAAAAGTCTACCTTGGATCCGCTGAACGATATAATGGTTAGTTGCTTTTGTAGCACGGCTGTGTAAGAGCGGTACCCCCAAATATTTCCCAAGATCATCAACACGTATGTACTGGAAACCGGTGCTGATGCTCGTTCTAATATTTTAGATTACATTCTTAGAGAAACAAATGTTTGTCATGACTAAATTATAACAAAAAGGGGTAAATCTAAAATTTTAGCATAGTGGAGGGACTAAAAGGAGAGTTGTACCTATACCATTTATTCGTCTTTCTTAATTCTTGTCTTTGAATTTCTGTTGATTCTTCTAGATGATTTGCCAAAATGCTCTTATGATGAACAGAATCGATCATACGAAATACAGAAATCAAACTTTGTATATAACTATAAATTTATTTAGAAAGTATACATTATAATACATAGACGATAACACATTACTCGTGAAATGAACTAAAATATACTAATCAAGCATTCTTCTATAAGAAGAACACTTATAAACCATATGTTTAATGTTTAAGAAAACAAAGCTGTTCCCATAACTTTGGGGTTTGAGTAATTAAATAATTTGGATAATTATGGTTTGGGTATTTTTGCAACTTCGGGTAAATCAGGTTTTTGTAATTCTGGAATTTTTGGTAATTCGAGAGTTTTGTGTAATTTTGGTTTTGGTACCTCAAGAATTTTTGGTAACTCAGGAACATTTGGTAATTCAGGAGCTTTGGGGAACTTTAGGCAGTTCTGGTTTCGGTAATTCAGAGACTTTTGGTAACTCAAGAGCTTTGGGCTCGGGAACTTCAACTTCTTCGGATTTTTGCAACTTAGTCGATTTAGGAACCTCATGAAGTTTAGGTTTTGACAACTCTGGCACTGTTGGAAACTCATCAGGCTTTGGTAATTCAGGAACTTCAGGCTTTGACAATTCTGGCACCTTTGGAAACTCAGGAACCTTAGGCAATTTAAGTTTTGGTAATTTAGGAACTTCGGGCTTTGGCAACTCTGACCCTGTTGGAAACTCAGGAACCTTAGGCAATTCAGGAACTTTAGGCAATTCAGGCTTAGGTAACTCAGGCATTTTAGGTATTTCAGGTTTCGGAATTTCCTGTAACTCAGGTTTTGGGAGTTCAACCTTTGGTAAGGAAGGTATCTGTGGTAACTCTGGTTTAGGAAGTTCGGGTTTTTTAGGCACAGACTCTTCTAAGAGACGTCGGGCATCGACTGAGATGGTGTCACTGCTCATCAATGACAAAGTGAGTAGTAGTGCAAAGAAAGGTAAACGCTGGGAAGCCATGGTTGAGGGAAAACAGATGCGGGATGAGAATAAGAAATGCTTCAGAGAATTGGTTGTTTATGCAATTGCATGAGCTAATGAGCCTTTTATAGGTATTGGGATGTGGAAAACAATTATATTTTCCAAGTTTTTGGTGAGAAAATCTGCATTTTGTTAGCTAAACCTCTCACCTCTTCCTTACTTGAAACCTTATCAAACTCTGAATTGATGACACATACACTTGACTGCCAATTATACATTTGCCGCATACAAATATTATGTCATATATGAACACCATAACTTTACATTGAATAACATGACAGCCAGAAACTTTATTTGTTTTTTATTTGTTCAGCTATCTACCAACTACATACATGTAAAATTAGAGACCGGAGGGAGTTAAGCTGTTAAAGTTTGGTAACTTGCAACTGACATAATAAATGGCTCAGCAGTCCAAAAGAAATTAAAATATTCAGAGTGTAAGTTCGTCCAAGTCAATACAGTAATATAATTTGATTTTTGAAAAGTGATTTGATTTTTCTCCTTATTTTTCAATCATAAAAATGAATTAGAATCCATTGAGTGGGGGTGTTAGTTCATCAAAGTCATTAATAATGCAAACATATTATGACAGATATAACTATTGGAATTTAATATCTCGAAGAAGAACAATACTCATTTTTATCACTAATATCACTCAATAGGATAAAATCAAATTAAATTTTATTAGCCACAAAATCAGTTCCATATAAATATATTGCTTTACATTTTGTACTATTTAGAGTAGGCATGTAAACGAATCGAACGTTTAGCGAGAAATTCATTTATGTTAGTTTATTTATTAAAAGAACGAACATGAACAAGATTTTATTCGTTTAATTAAATGAACAGACACGAACAAATGTCTCATTCGTTAATTTACGTTCATGAACGTTTGGTAATCTGTCCATTTATGTTCGTTCATTTATGTCCGTTCATTTATGTCCATGTATGTTCGTTCATTTATGTTCGTGTATGTTCGTTCATTTATGTTCGTGTATGTTCGTTCATTTATGTATGTATATGTTCATTTATATTGAGGTCAATCTCCATACCCATTTAAAATATTAAGGTCCAATCATTAATATTTTAAAACCCAAATAATTTTAAACTTATATCAATTAAAGAAAATATAAATCACACGTATTTAAAACACATATAATTTTTACTTTTGAAGTTGTAGTTTACATTAATGAATAATGAATTTTATGTGGTTATTGTTGTTGTTTACGTTCGTTTATTGTGTTAAATCATGTTCATTTATTATGCTTGTGCAGGTTCATTTATGTTCGTTTATATTCATTTATTGTATTCGTTTATCGTTTAAATGAACGAACACGAACAAATAACATTCCTTAACAAACAAACATAAACAAAAAAAAATTATGTTCGTTTATGTTCATGTTCGTTCATTTGTTTGATAAAAGTTAAACGAACGAATATAAACATAACATTTCGTGTTCGTTTATGAGCCTAATTTAATGCATGGTAGCTGAGTTCACCTGAGTAGAGTGATAATGACATATGATATCTAAAATCTTATAAAATTTAAGTCTAGATATGCATATATACTTTAAAATCTTAATTCATTCATTATCTACATTAAATTCGAGTATCATTATCTAAATATGAATTAATTAAATTACTCATCAAATATTAAAATTTAAAAAATATTTATATTTGATCATTACTAAAAAATTAGCTGACTCTATTCTCATATGTAATGAGATAAGGAAGAGATAAGATAGTAAGTTGCCCCCAAAACCAGGTTGAGAACAGCTTCTGTGAGAAACATACGGTAGTCAGAATTATAAATTGACTACCATAAGACTCAATCCCACGACCACAAGATTAAGAGTCTTGCACTCTACCAACCGAGCTGGACTAGCAATTTTGGGTAATACTCGATAACTTTTGGCAATTTTAGTTTTAACACCTCATGAACCTTAGGCAATTCTGGCTTCAAGATTCTATTTTGTTAGCTCAACCACTCATTCATTCATTACTTGAATGCAATTTGATTATATGAATGTGTGACGATTTCAGCTCCCGAACTAATGTCCCGATATGCGCCGGACATGGATGGTGAAAGAGAAACGATGAGTCGGAGCAACAAACTGCAACGATTCCGAACTCCATCAAGATAAGCAGGTGTAACTCCGACATTTCTTTCCTTCGCTGACAGAAATCTGTTGGAGCAACATCAACACCAACCACAAAGGAAGGGGAAAGAAAGCAAAAATAATAACACGGATGGAAGAGGAACATCTAAAATATGCAGCCATTCATGTTGCAACTAACTAGATTTATTGTTTAGAATAACTTGGTTGGGCTAATCATTGAAGAGCCGGTTACCGTACGATGATTACTCTAAAGGCCCTTCAAATACATGAAATGGTGAAATATAATTAGGAATACCCTTCAAATACAAGGAGCTTATCAGTTATCACAATAGTCAGATCATTAGCATACCAACAAGATTGTGATCCTCCGCAACTAGCAGATGAAACTGCATACTTAAACCAGAGTCAGACAACATAACTCCTTCAGGCTGAAATCTCTATACACCCAAGTCATAAGGATTATTTGCTACATATTACCGAAAGATTTGGATGCTTAAGCCATTGAAGTACAAAACGAAAGGAACCGGAAAGAACAGAGGAAAGTCCATTCTTCAAATGACTATCTGGTTTCAGGCAATCCATACTGATGGAACCAAGACGAACAAAGTAACAATTATTGTCAATAAGTAATTCTAGTTAAAGTGGTCACGATAGCAAAAGATGCATGAACTACAAGCACACATAAAGTAAAAGCAAGGATGCAATCAACAAAAGAATATATTAAAGCTAATATATTGCATTGAATGGAAAGAGTTAAATGCCAGTGAAAAATAACCTTTGGTGAGTCATGCTTAAAACACAGGCATTAGTAATTGAATCCCTAACAACTGAATCTTCTTCTGCTATTAGTCCCCTACCCTTCTAAAAAATCAATACTAACAGCCTAAAGAGCCCGGTTCAACTTTTCTCCAAGCATATTTTTTCACCATCGGTATATCACGGCGTCCGCCCTTTTATTTCTTTCCCTTCTCTAAAAGAGGGACACTTGCAAGAATTATGATGGGCAGATATTCGATCGTCAACCCGAAATGTCTCATGCTTATGTACCGAACTTCCTAACCTGTCCTCCCAAACAGGAAAATTCACTAGGAATAAACAGGCAGCTCGGAACAATAAAAATGATGACAACATTCGATGATACAAGTATGCAGTTAACTGCAACCCTGAAAAAGCTATGAAAGGAGATCCTGAGTTCCTCCACACGATTAGATACTACAAGCATACAATTAGATTTAGAACAACTACAGCTTCTGCAAAAAGGAAACAAGGATCTTACTCACTAAGTAGACTTAACTTTTTCGTCCCCGACATTGGAGAGTATAGGCAAGCTACTTAAGAACTCATCAAGACCCTCAAAAAACCCATTCCCTTCGATGTTATCATCTTCCCCAATTCCAGCATGGTTCCCCTCGCTCCTCCTTGCCACCGGCTCTTCCACTTCATTGCTAAACTCCACGTTCAAATCCAACTTCCCCAGACTCTTTGCTCCTTTCACCATCTGCTTCCTCCCATTAATTGTGACACCCTGTCTGCTCGATTCAGCGGTTAGCTGGCCCTCAGGTGCCACTGGAACACCATTCAACTTCGCACTGTAAGCCGCACTAACTTGCTGATTGCTTCCCTTATCCGCTGTCTCACTCGGTGCCTTCTTAGGTTTTCTCCCAGCAGATCCTTTCCCTTTGGCATTCTTTGCCTTCTTCTTCCTTTCATATTTCTTCCATTCATCATCATCGTCGTCGTCATCCTCCGAAGGTCCACTCGAATCGAAAATCTCTACATATGAATCATAATCTTCGTAATACACTCTTGGAGCAGACTTCTGTTTTCCAGTGACGTGGTCCATGGGACAAGCAAACACGTTGGAAATAGGGGCCAACTGGGAAACTTACCGCCCTCATTCTTATCTTTTCCCGAAAACCCTAATGGAAAAAACCCCAAACAGCAGAAATGGGTATCGTTTCCGTTCACTGGCGGCGGCTGTATCACAACTGCATGGAAAGCTCGCCGGCAATTCTTAGCTTGACACCTTAGTGTACAATCCTCGTACATTTTAGGATACTCATAGAGAATGTAACAGTACGGACAAGCTGTCCAGAAAGTCGGTCGCTCTGACTCAGTGGCTTGACTAGGCCGAGTCGAATCAATCCTCCCAGTCGCACCATTTGACTCTGTTCGAGTATGATCTGCTGCTGGAGGAGGAGGAGGAGGAGGAGGAGGAGGAAGTGGTTTCTGCTTAATCTCAACTCTCTGAATCGGCTCAGTCCGATTAAATTCACTCGAGCTAGCAATTCCTACCTTATTAACCTGGCTAGTTCGCGTAGGCTCAGGCAGATTAACCTGGCTCGCCTGGGTAGGCTCCGGCCGATTAACCTGGCTTGTGTGTGTAGGCTCTGACCGACTAATGTGGCTCGAACCAACTGGTCCTGAAGGATTAATCTGACTCGGCCCAGCTAAACCTATCTGATTCATCTGCACCGACCAAGTTGACTCAGCCGGGCGAGTTGCCTCCGGCTGATTGTTATTTAAACCTAACTGCCCTCCCCCTTCAAATGCAGCATTCCCATCTTTACAACTATTCGTAGGGCTTCTTATGGCAAACAGCGTTTGCGTTTCCTTGGGCGTTTGCATAAACAGCGTTTGCGTTTCTTTCGGAGGTGGAGGTACCGGCGGTTGCATAAATAGCGTCTGCGTTTCTTTAAGAGGCGGAGGCGCCGGTGGCTGCATAGACAGAGGTTGCGTTTCTTTCGGAGGCGGATGCGTCGGCGGTTGCATAAACAGCGTCTGCGTTTCTTTCGGCGCCGGTGGTTGCATAAAAAGAGTTTGCGTCTCTTTCGGAGGCTGTTGCATGAACAGAGTTTGTGTTTCTTTCGGCGGCGGCGGTTGCATAAACAGCGTCTGC